ATATATATATATATATATATATATATATATATATATACATACACACACACTTTTATTCAAAATAAAAACCCTGAAAAATCACATGTACAGAAGTATTCACAGCCTTTGCTCAATACTTTGTTGATGCACCTTTGGCAGCAATTACAGCCTCAAGTCTTCTTGAATATGATGCCACAAGCTCGGCACACCTGTCTGTGGGAATTTTTGCTCATTCCTCTTTGCAGTACCTTTCAAGCTCTGTCAGGTTGGATGGGATGTGACGGTGTACAGTCATTTTCAGATCTCTCCACAGATGTTCAATAGGATTTGGCTCTTTGCTCTGGCTGGGCCACTCAAGGACATTCTCTGCGTTGTTGTGAAGACACTCCCTTGATATTTTGGCGGTGTGCTTTGGGATATTGGGCTACCAACACCATGCTTCACTGTAGGGATGGTATTAGCCTGGCGAAGAGCGTCACGACCCGGCTCAAAGGCCAGAACAAATTCAAGCGATGACATACGCAGGATGGTTCGGTACAGAAAAATATTTATTTAAACATTAAAGAATAAACATGTGCTCACTTGAGGTTAGCAAAAATCAAATATTAACCAAAGCTAGAAAGAAACAAAACTAAATAAACAGGAGCAAAAGCACAGCCCCCACAAGCAAACACTACTGGCTTTTATAGAGGGGAAATCAGGTGTTCCCATTGCGCAGATGAGTCTGTCCTTCCTGCATCGGCCGACCAGTGGATTGGTCTAAGAGAATCGTCACATGAGTGGTGCCTGGTTTTCTTCAAACGTAACACCTCCAAAGAGTTCAATTTTAGTCTCATCAGACCAGAGAGTTTTGTTTCTTATGGTCTCGAGTTCTTCAGATGCCTGGCGGGGAGTGGTTTTCGTCTGGCCACTCTACCATACAGGCCTGATTGGTGGATTGCTGCACAGATGGTTGTTCTTCTGTAAGGTTCTCCTCTCTCCACAGAAGAACGCTAAAGCTCAGACAGATTAACCATTGGGTTATTGATCACCTCCTTGAATAAGGCCCTTCTCCCCTGATCACTCATCTTAGATGGCGGGACAGCTCTAGGAAAAGTTGTGGTGGTTCCAAACATTTGTCGCTTCCAGATGATGGAGGCCACTGTGCTAATTGGAACTTTCAAAGCAGCAGAAATGTTTCTGTAACCTTCCCCAGCCTTGTGCCTGTTTTGACATCCTGTTTTGGAAGTCTACAGACAATTTATTTTGTCTTCATGCTTGGTTTGTGCTTTGACATGCACTGTCAACCCTGGGCCCTTATATAGACAGGTGTATGCCTTTTCAAATCATGTCCAATCAACTGAATTTACCACAGGTGAACTCCAATGAAGCTGCTGAAACATCTGAAGAATGATCAGTGGAAACTGAATGTACCTGAGCTCAATTTAGAGCTTCACAGCAAAGGCTGTCAATACTTCTGTACATGAGATTTTTCAGGTTTTTATTTTTAATAAATTTGCAACAATTTCAAAAACTCTTTTTTCACATTGTCATTATGGGGTATTGTGTGTAGAATGTTGAGGAAATAAATGAATTTAATTGAATGTAATGAATATAACTGTAACAAAAAAATGTGGATAAGTGAAGCGCTATGAAAATTTTCCGGATGCACTGTAGATAAATAAAGTGGTAATAAGATGGAGTGGATGTGCTTAAAATAATCACAATACAAAAAAAAAAACCAATAAAGAACATTTCAATTGGTTAAGTACTTTAATAAACATTAATAAATGGTTTGAAGTATTTGTCATTGTTAGTACACGTTAATTTCAATATTGTATTATTATTATTTATAAATTGTATCTGTCAGTATTTTTATTGAACTAACAAAAGACAAGGTGGTTAAAAAGCTGTAACAATTCTATCGCTCATTTCATGTGTGTTAGTATATTGATTTCTGAATAATAGTAGCTTACTGTAACTTGTTACTGTTGACAAATAGATTCTCAGCAGTAGTCAAAAGCACAGAAGTCAACTTTTCATGTACACCTTTAAGCACATGCTGTTCATTTTTTTCAGCTAAAAAAATAAACCAATAAAGCAAACACTATTCATGAACGTAGTAACAGAAATATGAAGACTGAGGAAAAAATGTATCTTTCTTGATGTGCATCACATTAATTTCCTCATTCAGTGCTTTCCCAGAAATCTCATCATTGACCTCATGAAGAAACAGAAAGAGATGATTGATTTACACACATTTACACAACATCAGTGATAAGAAAATCGAGGCTCAAAGCATGTATGAATGCTTTTTACACTCATCATAGAACTACTAAATATATAAATAAAAACAATAGATCTGAGCAAACAAACTAACAATGCAGAACTGTATCAGCCTGTATGAAAAGCCATGACAGAAATCACTGAATATGTCTGAAACTTTCATGTGAAACTTGGTGCAGGCGTTTTGCTATAAACTATGACTATTAAGCCGCGGTCACACTGCACATTTCGCCCCATAGACTTCCAGTCATGCGCATGCAAATGCAGCCGACGTGTTTCTCTGCGTTCAAATGTTCAAGCTTGGTGAACTCTGACCAGTGAAATCGCCTCACGTAAGATCAAACGTGAGCTCTCTGTACAGAAATGTAAAATATGGAGCAATCACAGGATCCTTCAACCTATAATCACATTATTTAATCCTGCCCCTTTTCAGAACTGTGACAGATTTTCGCCAGCACAAACTCTAGTGTGACCGCAGCTGAAGTCATATACTAAATAGCTAATTATAAAAAAAATTAAAAAAATAGCAGTCAGCACGAATCTTCCCTTTCTGTTAAACTATAAATTAGCCATGCTCTGTTAATATATAACTAAGGTTTTGAGTTGACAATATTCAGGAATGTGCAGTGGCTGCATATAAACACCATATCATTAGCAGATTTCCTAATCAAAGACTTTTTATCTTTACGCCAATAAAATTGTAACTAATTTTTGCTTGAACAAGAAAAAAATGAATCTGAAAGGGGCACAAAAAGCCCTGAATGAACTGTATCCTTTCAACAGATGTTTGTTTGTATACACGATCAAGCATTCAACTGCATTGATCACTTTATACACAGTCAAGCCTGACATTATTCATAATTCATTCACATTCATCATTCACTTTTTGTTCAAAGGTAAATAAAAGCTGAGAAATACATGAAGTTGAAGTCAGAATTATTAGCCCCCTTGTTTATTTTTCCCCCAATTTCAGTTTTTTTTTTTTATCTTTGCCATGATGACAGTAAATAATATTTTGCTAGATATTTATCAAGACACTTCAATACAGCTTAGTGGCTTAACTAGGTTAATTAGGCAGGTTAGGGTAATTAGGCAAGTTATTGTATAACGATGTTTTTTTCTGTAGACTATTGAAAAAAAAAAATAGCTTAAAGGGGCTAATAACTTTGTCCTTAAATGGTGTTTAAAAAATTAAAAACTGCTATATTTTGGCCAAAATAAAACAAATAAGACTTTCTCCAGAAGAAAAAATATTATCAGACTTACGGTGAAAATGTTCTTGCTCTGTTAATCATTTAGAAAATATTTAAAATAGAAAATCAAATTCAAAGGGGGGATAATAATTCTGACTTCAACTGTATATTGTGAATCTTATTATCATTTTGAGATCTTTTGAGTGTCATTTCTGGTCAAATAAATAAAACAATACTTGCTGGTTAAAGTAACTTTAGGTCAGAATTTGTCAGGGGTGTAAATAACTGAGCTTGATTGTACACTACCTGGCAAAAGTCTTGTCGTTGATCTCAGTTGTAAGAGCAACAAATAAAAACTTGACTTCTAGTTGATCATTTGTAAAAGAGGCAGAATGTAGATTTGTGCTATGAATCATCTGTTGAACTGCATCTCAATCATCACAAATACTGCAGAAGACCTACTGGAACCCTCATGGACCCAAGATTCTCACAGAATCAGTCAAGTTTGGTAAAGGACAAATCATGGTTTGGGGTTATATTCAGTATGGGGGCGTGCGAGAGATCTGCAGAGTGGATGGCAACATCAACAGCCTGAGGTATCAAGACATTTAGTCACCTTGGAATTATAAGGTTCCATCTACGTTCTGAATGACTTTGAGATCATTTGCCCATTACATTACAAACCAGAGGGCAAATTCTTCAGCAGGATAGCACTTCTTGTCATACTTCAGCCTCCACATCAGAGTTCCTCAATGCAAAAAAGGTCAAGGTGCTCTAGGATTGGCCAGCCCAGTCACCAGAAATGAACATTATTGAGCATGTCTAGGGTAAGATGGAGGAGGAGGCATTGAAGATGAATTCAAAGAATCTTGATGAACTCTGGGAGTCCTGCAAGAACGCTTTCTTTGTCATTCCAGATGACTTTATTAATCAGTTATTTGAGTCACTGCAGAGATGTATGGATGCAGTCCTCCAAACTCATGGGAGTCATACACTGCAGCATGACTTTATATTCTATACTGGACATTATTTCTGTTAAATGACAAGACTTTTGTCTAAGCAAATTCAGACCTTACTGTCCTAATTAAATAATTGAATATCAAGGCATGATCATATTTTATTTTGGTAAAATAAGTGTAATCTAGAGGCTTTTGCCTTTCAGATAAGCCACTTTTGATACCAAATGATCAACTAGAAGTCAAATTATTATTTGTTGTTCCTAAAACTTGGAGAAGCGAGAAGACTTTTGTCAGGTAGTGTATATAAAATAATGAATGTAGTCATTTTATTTTTAAGTATTTCTTCTAAATTTTTGTTCAAGTTTGGTCTGTTTTTAATTAGCTATTGTAGTACTTGTGATAAGTTATTTAGTATAATTTCTTGCTCAGCATAAATGAAAGTGTTTTATCTCTTTTCATTAACTTTAGTACCACTAAAAAAACTTTTATTTCAAGTAATGGTTTTAGTTTCATAGCTTTAATTTTAAATATAGTAATCATTAATTACTATCAACATTTAGTGATTATTCTTAAACAGTCAAATCAACAAAAGCAAAAAACCCTATATATTTAATGATTTTAATCTGACTTAGCACTTCAGTTATCTGTCTCTATACACAGTCTGTGTGTGCCACATTAGAATGAATGTTTGGTAGTGTGAGTTAATGTTCAGGCGTGAGTGCTTTCGGTGATCTGCTGAATGCGGTCTGCTAGCTCCAGACAGTGTAAGATCCTGTTTCTCTCCGCCTGGAGCTCTGCAGCTGAAACTTCCCCCTGCAGCTTCCGGCAGAACAGCAGCAGATCCTGCATGAAGAGTCCGACCGGCTCACGCTGACCTGCTGGAAGCTCTGTGATCGTCACATCCTGAAAGCGAAACTCCACGTGTTTGGCTCTGCCCAGACCCGGACCCCGTTCTTCAATCCACGTCAGAGGCCTGTGGCAGAAGCAGCTTTGAGCAACTTATGGTTTTTTACTTACAGATGATCATTAAAAGGTAAAACATAAAAACGGTGTATAGATGTTTACTGATATCTACATAGTATGTAGCTAATAGGGATGCACCGATCCCGATACTTTGATCGGATATTGGTTTGATAACACATATTTTTGCTGGATCAGATATCAGACAGCTGGAACCAATCTAAATCCGATCTTGCGTATGCACTATATTGTGTAATTTATAAGCCAACTAAGCCATGAAGGTAGCCTATTATAAGACACTAGAAAGTTGTCATGAAGGCCTACTATATGCCAAATGTTCTGACGCCATTTCTATAGTTGAATGTGAAGCACAGATGAATATTCACAAGGTTAAATTCATGTTGACTTCAGTGCTTCCCACTGATGCGCCTGTCAATCATTCTCCATTCATCCACAATTAAAAATGCATGTCGCATTCATGACAACACGAAAAACTCTCTCCAACACGATTTGTTCCTGTTAATATAAATAATCCATAAAGAAATGCATTAAGTTTTGCATTAAATGGGTTCATTTCAACCTGCAACAAAGGGTTCGTTGCTGTTTCTAAATCATGTTGTGTCTGTTAGATCAGCAGATCGCATTCGCAACGCTGGAGTAGAGAGGGTTATTACTTGCTCTTCACGCACAAAGTAGCCCTACCTGAAATTTTTAATTGAAAAGGCTCAATAATACATCGGACAGATCCTCAACGCACTCATTTCTACCCTTTGTGTTGCTTAGAAAGTTTAGAAAGTGTCCACAGATACCTGAGAGCTGCACACTGTCTCAGTGATGCATCATTCACGCACCGGCTGCATAGATGCGATGTGCGCCGCTCTGTAAAATTATTCTCACAATGAGTTTCTGTTCTCTCATCCTTCTGACTGAGTTTATTCTTCTGATGGGAATACTTTAAGAGCTGTAAATAGTTTGTAAAGCTTGGCCTATTGTGGACAAAGTAGTTGATTGAATTAATAAAAGTGAAACTGACGGGCGCAATATGGATTTGTCAAGTAAAACTGGCCTCAGATAGTTAAGTCTGCATCAAACCTGCAGGAAAACATTAGGTTTTGTTAAAAGGCTGGTTATTTTACAAACAATTAGTGTCAATAGTGGTAGCCTTTTGCAGATTAAAAAAAAATCTTAATATTAAAAAAGAAAACAAGCTGGATCAAAACAGATCAATGCCATAATGAATGTTCAACTAATGTAGCCTATTTTACAGCAAGCATCATGTTTTTAGTTAGATTGTGGCGTCTGTCATATACCGCAGGCCTATAGGTCTGTTATTTTTACTAAAGGAGATATATTATTTGAGTTTAGCACCAGAACTATAGAAACTGTATTATGCTAAGAAAAAAAAAAAGCGAAAAAGTATCAGGATCGGATCTGTATCGATCAATACTCAGAATTTTGGTATCAGGATTGGATCGGTTCCAAAAGAAAATAAAAAATGGTATCGGTGCATCGCTAGAGGCTAAGGTCAAATTTTACAAAAACAGTTTAAATTACAAAGGAAATCAAAACTAACCATATCATTCTGTTAGCTCACATTGCTAGTTTTGTGGTGAAAAATTCATTTGTGCATGTCATTATGAAAACTTTTTTTGCCCTTGTAATCTTGAAATCTGAAAATGCGCTTCCTGTTCTCAGATTCTGAGGTCTGAGTTATTGGGTGTAGCTAACATACTTAAACACGCCTCTCAACTGTCAGATTTGACAACAAACAGAAATGGTGAGCTGGGGTCTGTTCTTCGTACCTTGCTTAAATGATCTAAGATGATTTGGCAGATCCTGGATCTGTTAATCTTATTAACTGATCTCTGGCTAATTCGGTTCTTCAAACAAGTTCGTGAATCAGATTAAAATGTCTGGATGAACTGATCTGAGATCGCTGCATATGTTGTGAAGGACAGATCTATTGATCCTCCAAATCATGATCAGCAATGCAACGATTGGCAGACGGTACAGCAGCGTAATGACATCATCTGATTAATATTCAATTATCCATGTGAGCAAAATTACATAAAATTCACAGTAAACGGTTTGTTAAATAAGATAAGCAACAACTTTCCACCTTGTTGTGGGCTGCATGCTTGGCCCTTTCATGTTTCAAGAGCTATTTATTTTTACAGTTAAAGCGGATTTCCTTTTTATTTCCTTATTTTCCCATTATAGTAGCCATAATAGTATTATAGTAGCCATTTTTTTAATCGGTGTATTGAATAACTGTAAGCATTAGCATTTAAAAAAAAATAACAATACTTCACAATATTGCAGTAGAGTAGACTCACTTGTGCTGTTGAGTCAGTAAGTGTGCCGTCATCTTCATGTACTTGTTCTCTTTCTCCTCCACCAGATCTACTGAAGTGACTGTGAGCTCTCCAAACAGAACCACCAGCCACGTCAGTCTGGCGATACCACTGAAAGACGGGAAGCCAAAGTTTGCCTTTAGAGGACCACCTGACAGAGAAAAATAACTAAAATGATTAGCCCTCCTGTGAATTTTGTCTTTTTTTAACATTTTCCAAAATATGTTTAACAGAGCAAAAAGATTTTCACAGCATGTCTGATAATATTTTTTTCTTCTGGAGAAAGTCTTATTTGTTTTATTTCGGCTAGAATAAAAGCAGTTACATTTTTTTAAAACCATTTTAAGGTCAATATTAAGGTCAATATTATTAGACCCCAATCCTGTTCCTGGAGATCTACCTTCCTGCAGATTTCAGTTGCAACCCTTATCAAACACACCTGTCTGTAATTATCAAGTGGATTTCAGGTCCTAATTAATTGGTTCAGGTGGGTTTGATCAGGGTAGGAGCTAAACTGCACAGGAAGGTAGATCTCCAGGAACAGGATTGAGCACCCCTGCCTTAAGCTATATCTTTTTCAAAAGTCTACAGAACAAACTATCGTTAAACAATAACTTGCCTAATTACCCTAACTAGCTTAATTAACCTGGTTAAGCCTTTAAATGTCATTTTAAGCTGTATAGAAGTGTCTTGAAAAATATCTAGCGAAATATTATGTACTGTCATCATAGCAAAGATCAAATAAATCAGTTATTAGAAATGAGTTATTGAATCTATTATGTTTAGAAATGTGTTGGAAGAAATCTTCTCTCCGTTAAACAGAAATTAGGGGAAAGCATCTACAGGAGGGCTGATGAATCTGACTTCAACTGTAGCAGCCTCATCAATATTGTGACAGATATCTTAGTGAAATAGCTTCTGAAATAATTTAATGCAATTCTTCTTTATTTACAAAGCGCTTTTTACAATGTAGTTTGTGTAAAAGCAGCTTAACATAGATGTAGAAAGGGTAAAAACCAAAATATTTTAACTCGTGGGGAAAAAATCCAGCCAATTAGGCAGGGATGAGGGTAGTGTAGAATGTTGGTGTTGTTCTAGATCAATTAAAACGGCTTCAGTTTAGTTTAGTTTAGTTTATTTTAACTGTTGAAATTCAGTTCAATTTAGTTCAATTCAGCGTTAAAAAAAAAAAAAAAAAACTTGACTTCCTCAATGAAAAATTGATAGAAGATAGCATCTTCGTTTCTTCAATACTGTGACAAATATCTTAGTATTAATTTTATAATAATAATAATAATAATAAAAGTTGTGCAGGGCTCAGAGATGGCAAAAGTACACACATCCTTTACTTAAGTAGAAGTACAGATACTCAGGTTTAAAACCAATCTGGTAAAAGTAAAAGTACTGACTACACTTTTGTACTTAAGTAAAAGTAAAGAAGTACGGCCTCAAAAATGTACAAAAGCAAAAAAGTAAAAAGTAGCCATTTCAACCACAGTTCCAAAGACATGCGGTATAGCTGAATAATAATTCAACTAAACTGGCAGTGTAAAAGTGTGTGTGAATGTCAGTGTGTATGGGTGTTTCCTATTTCTGGGTTGCAAAAGGGTACTCGCTGTGTAAAACATATGCTGGAATAATTATATTTTTATTCATAAAATGCCCAGTATACTTACATTTGTTGTTGAAAAATATTTGTTAATAGGCAAATTTAAAAAATCAATTAAAACTGAAAAACATCGTAATTTCTAGATTAGGATATATGAACTTATCAGAAATAAAGGAAGTAACAGCAATGCATACTTTTTTAAAAAGTATTTGATTGTTTTAGTACTAAATGTACAATCTTTAAAAAAAAAAAATAAAAAAAAAATAACACTATTTTTTTCGCTGTATTAGATTGAAAGACCAGAGAAAGCCTGTGCAGTATGATCAGAAGTGGACAAGCCAGTGGTTCTCAAACTGTGGTACCCGAGCTTCCTTTTAGTGGTACGTGGAGGAATCAAATATGTCATATGTACATGCTACATATATTGCAAAATACATAAAAATTATTTATATATAAATATGAAATATAATAATATTTATTACATGACATTAAGCCTATTTCTGAGTTCCAGGCAACATTTTCTGATGTTGATAAATTGACTACTATATATTAATACTTGACATTTAAGTACAGCACTTTTTATACTTTATAAGAATTTAAAAGCACATTTTAATTTAAATGTTGATCTTTTCTGTTTGTTTGTTTGTTTGTTTGTTTGTTTGTGTTTACATTTAGTAGTGTTAACATTCAAACTATTTAAAATGTTTAAAATGGCTGACAATAATATCTATTCTTAATAATAGGAATGAAACTGACACATTTTGAACTGTACAGAGCTTTAGCTGCTTTACTGGGCTTACTATGCTACTGTATTTCAATACTGCTCATTATAGTGGTACTTGAAGAGACCTTTTTTTTCTGAGGTGGTACTTGATGAAAAAAGTTTGAGAGCCACTGGCTTAAGCATTTAAACAGCATGCTTTTAAACTGGAATGTGTCTCTCTTGTTCACCTGTGATCTGAATGAGGAAAAGGTGTCTTATTACAATGTAAACAGGCAGCATCAGTCATGTTAGATTCGCCGTCTCCCTCTGTCACATCTGCATAGTCATGCTAGCCTTTCTCATAGTAATCTTCATAAACTAGTCCACGTACGGTGTGCAATAGCCTTGAAAAGGCCACGCAGTGCAGCACGCAGGCGCGAAATGAGGAAAAATAGACCGACTGCATCAAAACTTTGTTTATATTGTGCAATGACAAGAATTGATAATAATATAGAACGCGCCACCAAACTAAGGAAAACAAAAGTAACGAGCGTGGTTTAAAAAATGGTAGAAGTAGAAAGTACAGATATTTGTGTAAAAATGAAAGAAGTGAAAGTAAAAAGTTGTCCGAAAAATAAGTAGTGGAGTAAAGTACTGATACTAGAAAAATCTACTTAAGTACAGTAACGAAGTACAAATACTTCCCATCTCTGGCAGGGCTTGACAATCCATGAGGAATTGGTTGGTTGAATGCGGTTTGCTATTAGTGGATCTAATATGATTGAAAGGTTGATCCCACTCTTTACACCAGTAAGCACCATATGATTGCACCAGTTAGAGAGGACACGTTGTTAGTACAACTTTTATTACCAAAGGAAGGTATAAACTGCCTTCAAAACCCCAGCGGAGAGCTTGAAGAAGAACTAAACTAGACAGCATTTAAAACCCCAGTGGAAATCTTCAAATCATTCATTCATTTTCCTTCGGCTTAGTCCCTTATTTATTAGGGGTCGCCACAGTGGAATGAACCGCCAATATTCCAGCATATGTTTTACGCAGCGGTGCCCTTCCAGCTGCAACCCAGTACTGGGAAACATCCATACACTCTCACATTCACACACACACACACACACACGCGCACACATGCACACACACGCACACACAGTATGGTCTATTTTTGTTTACCCAATTCACCTATAGCGCATGTCTTTAGACTGTGGGGGAAACCAGAGCACCCGGAGGAAACCCACGTCAACACTGGGAGAACATGCATACTCCAGTCAGAAATGTCAACTGGCACAGCAGGGACTCGAACCAGTGACTTTCTTGATGTGAGACCACAGTGCTAACCGCTGAGCAACCGTGCCACCTAATGGAAATCTTTACAATAAAAATAAAAGCAAGAATGTGCTGAACTAAGCATTATTGTATTGTCATTACCGGTGAAGTGCAGCTTTCCTTCCTCCAGTGTTTTTTCAGAAATGTCTTTTTTCAGCTGTTTGAAGTCAGGAGTGAACAGCTCGATGTGTTCCTCATGAAGCACCAGACCTGAGGATTTAATACAGAAGATAAAACATTCAGTTCATAGTATTTGTTTCAGCCACATCATAATATGAATATAAATAATACATGACATGAACGCTTATGGGTGGCACGGTGGCTCAGTGGATACCACTATTGCCTCACAGCAAGAGGGTTGCTGGTTCAAGTCCCGGCTGGGCCAGTTGGCATTTCTGTGTGGAGTTTGCATGTTCTCCCCGTGTTAGCATGGGTTTCCTCCGGGTGCTCCGGTTGCCTCCACAGTCCAAAGACATGCGCTATTGGCTGTAGTGTATGTGTGTAAATGAGTGTGTATGAATGGGGTTGCAGCAGGAAAGGCAATAGCTGTGTAAAACATTTGCTGGTTATCTGGCGGTTCTTTCCGCTGTGCCAACCCCTGATGAACAAGGGGACTAAGCCGAGGGAAAAGGAATGGATTTCACTAGTTTCACTATGATTTGAAAGCTAAATGTTGATCTTTGTCTCACCCTTCTGTTGAGCCAGATTCCACAGATCCACAGCAGAGGTGTGGCTGAGGGTCATGGGATACTCCACACACACATGCTTTCCTGCCTCCAGAAACTGCCTGAGATCCAGCAGATCAGAGGAGAGACGGTCATTTCAAAGAAAGAGAGAGCGAGAGATGTTCAAACAAGCATGTGAGAGATGATTATGGATATTATGTGTGTGCGCGTGTGTGTGTCACCTGATGTTCTCTTCATGGCTGGTGTTTTCTGTGCATATAAATGCCACATGGATGTCGTCTCTGCTCAGCGCTTCAGTCATGCTGATCTGCTTCACACCCTGCTGATCTTCAAGACTCCTCCTTCAGACACATATAAATAAATGTTTAACACCAGAAAGGTTTGAAAAATATATTTCATCCATTAAAGAAACAAAAACAAACAGAAACAAAACAGGATGTCCTTAGGGGAAAAAACATAGAAAATGAATCACTTTTTGAAATCAGATATAAATTCTTAGCATTTAGTGGAACTGCACTAATCAAAAATTGTAAGTAATTTTATAATATTAATATATATATAATTTTTTCCCAATATTTTGCTTTAATTTAAACATTATATTTCTATTTTTAAAGATGTTCAGTGACAATAATATTATTTCAATAAATATATTCGTTTAATAAATCTAATTTGTTCAAATCCACCAAAATATATGACCCATATTCACTGAGAAATGGAGAAAAATATTCGTTTTTAAAACGGGGTGTCCTCATTTATACTGAGCACCGTGTGTGTGTGTGTGTGTGTGTGTGCATATATATATATGTATGTATGTATGTATGTATGTATATATATATATATATATATATATATATATATATATATATATATATATATATATATGTATATATATTATTATTTTTTTTTTTTTAATAGATATTTTTTAAGATACTAGTATTCAGTTTGCAATGACATTTAAAGGCTTAACTGGGTTAAATAGGCAGGTTGGAATAATTAGGCAAGTCATTGTATAATGATGGTTTGTTCTGTAGACAATAGAGATGCGCGGATCAGCTAAAATGACACCCGAATCTGAGGCTTCAAACTAATCATCCACCCGCCTGCACTTATAGTTTTATCTGATATATGTACCCGCACCCGATCGTCACTTTAATAATTGAATTCTTTGTTTTAGGCATGATGATAGGTCACCGTGGATATTAACAGCAGATTCAGTGAGCTATAATCTGCACATCTCTGATAGTAAAATAATACATTAATAATAAACGCTTTTAAACGTTTTTTTTTTTTTTAGAAAAACAAAAGTTTGTCTTTAGATGACATTTTCTTCATTTTCAAATAGATACAGAAAGTAAAAATAAGACTTATAAAACAGAATAGCATCTGCTGTGCCAGGGTTCGGGTGATTCCGCCTCACCTCCAAAACGCAGCCAGCTGCACTGAATGAGGGTTTGCTCGCACTGCGTGTTGTACTGTAGGAATGCACAAGATTCTCCTTGCACGGCGCTGCAATCGCGGAAATAAGCGATCTTGTTTCTCCCAGAACGATAGCAGATTTTCCTCTGATGACTCCTCTAACTGAAACTTTGAACAGTAGGCTACTCTTGCACTTCATCCATTATTTTTGGCGTCTCATCTTGCCATTCTGCAAAGCCAACTCTCTGCTTTTTAGCTGGTCTACTGCCATTTCCGCTACATCCACCCGCAACCCAATTAATCATAATCTATTTTTTATTAACCAACTCGCGGATATAACCGCCATCCGCACATCACTAGTAGACAATGAACAACAACAACTATTGCTTAAGAGGGCTAATAATATTGACCTTAAAATGGTTTTACAAAAAATAAAAACTGCATTTATTCAAGCCCAAATAACTTTCTCCAGAAGAAAAAATATTATAGGAAATACTGTGAAAATGTCCTTGCTCTGTTTAACATAATTTGGGAAATATTTGAAAAAAGAAAATAAAAAAATGACAGGAGGGCGAATCATTCTGACTTCAACGGTACATATATGTTACTGCTGGATGGACATTTTTGACTTTTGGTCTTCGTCATATTTTTTTTTTTAATTGAGATAATGCACAGCAAACTGTCCCTCTCTGAAAGATAATTTAAGTAAAGTACAAAAATACACAAAAGAATAACATTAAAAAAACATGAAGAAATTATGGCTGATTTCGTCTTATAAATAAACACACTAACTGTGTAATTATTATCATTTTTTATTCTGCAAGCATGCATTCACTTGTCAAAAAGGACAGTAAAGACATTTATATTTTAAAAGATACAAATAAATGCTGCTGACTTTTATTAATAGAAAAAATTTAATTAACCAACCACAGTTAAAAAAACTATTCTCAAAATAAACAATATATTATAAAAATGTATTAATACTTTTATGTATAATTAATACAATTATAAATAATAAAATTAAATTTAAAAAATTCCTTTGAGCAAATGATAATACACGGTAAAATTATAAATCCTGAAAAATAATATTTCCATAAAATATGAAGCACGTAAGGACGTATGAAGCATTGCATGCATGAAGCAACTTAAACTGCACACACAGCTGCAGCTGTAATCTACATCATGTTCTATGGGGTCAAAGGACAAAAACACAGACCTGGACACAAAGCCCCTGATGCTGATCTGTTCTGCGGCGCTGGACGAGAGAGGAGCCATTAAATCTCTCATCCTCACAGATCCTGCAATTCCAATTCCAACAACCACTGATCCCAGCATGATTCCTGCATCAACACAACACAGACACACACAAACAGTTGAAGTCTGAATTATGAAACCCCCTGAATATATTTTTCCCCAATTTCTGTTTAATAGAGAGAGGATTTGTTCAACACATTTCTAAACATAACAGTTTTAATAACTAATTTCTAATAACTGATTTGTTTTATCTTTGCCATGATGACAGTAAATAATATATGATTAGATATTTTTCAAGACACCAGTATTCAGCTTAAAGTGACATTTAAAGGCTTAACCAGGTTAATTAGGCACACTCAAAAAAATGAATTATGGCTTTAGTTGGTCCAAAGAATGTAATTATGTTTAAATTAAACAATTTTCTTATGTTTGTGTATTAAAAATAAAAGTGTTGTGTTGGAAAAAATTAGAAAAAGTAAGTTTTCACATTTAAACAGCTTGCTTAATTAACATGAATGAAAGGGAGTTGTGTTGCTTCTGTAGTACTGCATTTTGGTCAATAGGTGGAGTAATATCTGCACATGCGCAGTTTCAAAACAACACAGGAAGTAAGAAGATTCAAACCACAACGATCACTCTCAGTTCGGCGCCATATTATGGGAATCAAAAGATGAAGATTACAGTACAAATTGAGAACGTGCACAAAGCTTTCCCCAATGTGGACACACAGGTGAGTTTTTTTTTTTACTTTTTATGTATTTATACTGAGGCTGTGACAACATTTGAATCATAAATGTACTCTCTTGTAATACTCTGTTGTGTTTGTGTATTGTATTGCTATGAAATTGCCATGTTCCCTGTGTCTTTTCCACATTATAGACAGATAAATGTAGTTTGTTTTGCATTCCTGTGAAATTTTACACTTGGTATATATTAACTCCCTCAAAATAAAGTTGCAAACGTTGGTAGTAAGGAATAATTAGTCAGTTAGAATAGTCTAAGCTTTTCACTCATCATAGCACACGTGCTGCTGATAATGTGACAATAAAAGTGATTTGATTTTTCATTTGATTTGATAGTCTTTATTTTAAATGAGTGTCAAGCAGTTTGTCGAGTTTGAATGCCAGTTTTGATAACTTACATAATATTAATTAAAATGTGGTGTTGGCACAGTGTTATTTATTATTTAATTGTATTCAAGCCTGTTAACTTAAAAAAAATCTGCAAAAAAGCATATGTGACACTTAAATAGTATGGCATCTAGCATGATGACATATTTGATGTAAGCTTATTTGTTTGGTCATCTAACACGTTTTAATTTTTAAGTTTAGTTGTTTGCTATGTATATTATTATATTTTATTATTACAAATCTTTGCTCACTCACATCTATTTTCTCCCTCACAGGTTTACAGCTCAACCTCTAAAGTCCCATATCTGGCTGAGGAGACTGTGGATCATCCAGGTACTATGCCTTTAGATGCCTATACACACATTAAAATGATGTACAGTAAAAGTTACTAGTAATTTTAACTACTAATTACTTAGTAAATTACTAATTGTCATTTCATGTCATTTAGAACATCACCAGTGGTGTGAATGCATCCTCAAAGCCCCTAAGTGAGGGAGTACATGGTAAGCTATTTTATTTTATTTTTTTAAACATTTTGTATTTTCCTCTTAAACCAATTCCTCCTTTCACCTTTGATCTGTTGGTAAATTTTTATTTTTTTACCTGACTTTTTTAGGATGCTGGGCATGATGAAGCGCAAACCTTGATGTGCAACACCACCTTATGAATCTACAGTAGTTACATTAACATTTAGCAGACTCTTTTGTCTAAAGTGACTTACAATTGAGGAGACATTCAGCAAATCAACAAGAAGAGGCGATACACCCAAGATGTGCTAATTATACAAAAAATTTTAAGAATTAAGAATGCTTCTACATGTGGTTTGTCAAGCCCACTTACGTGTGAAGCAGACTTCATGCACAATGTTTTGTTTTTTGTTTTTTAGATATAGGGAGTGGTTGTAAGAAAGTGTCTGGTGCAAATGTGCAGAAATGATGCAAGTGTCAGAGAGGTGAATGTGTGTAGCTATTGCATGTTCTGTGATGGTTGGTCTAATTTATGGTGTAGTGCTGATCGTGTTACTTTGCTTTAAAATGTTAATCTGTCTTTGAACAACTGAAGTGTTATCTGCTTTTTCAGTGTAAAAAAGGTACAGTATAGTTTACAAAAGAAGACTTAATTTTTCTAAGTATATTTTTGATAAATCATTTGAAGGCAGAATATTGTTTTTGAATGTTTTTTGTAATATATGAAAAGTATTATTTTGAAAAGTGTATTTTATGTTTTTCTAAGCATAATTTTAAAATCATTTATTGTTTTCAATTTGCTTCATACTTGTATTACTATTATTTTAATAGTATTAATATGTTAACTTATTGTAATAAGTGAAGATACAGATAAAGACAGTATTTGGATTTTGATAATCATTTTATTGCTGGAAAATGTGTAAAACTGTAAAAATGCTATTGAATAAACTCAATGAAACGGAAACTGTTTTTTTTATTTGGTTAAACATAACAATATCAATTTTACAATAATTGAACTTAAATAACTACATTGATTAAAGCTAAATTATAAATGTTACGTTGATTAAACTAAACAACAATACATTACCTTTATGTAACTAACTTAAGTTCACTAAAATTAATATTCTTTCTTAAAGGTAACTTAACTCGGTTACGTGGAACCAGTGGACAAAAAAAAGTTAATTAACGCCAACATATCATTTTTTTGAGTGCAAGTTAGAGTAATTAGGCAAGTCATTGTATAATGAGGGTTTGTTCTGTAGACAATCAAAAAACAAACATTGCTATTAGGGAGGCTAATAATAATATTGACCTTAAAATGATTTAAAAAAAAATAAAACCTGCTTTTATTTTAGCCAAAGTAAAACAAATAACTAAGACTTTCTCCAGAAGAAAAAATATTATCAGACATACTGTGAACTTTTTTTTGTTGCTCAAATTAAACAATTATTAGGGAAATATTTCAAGAAAAAATATTGAGAAAAATTCACAGGAGGTTGAATTTTGACTTCAACTGTACACATACACATGTAACCAGTGTGCTTACAGAGTTTGCCTCAAACTTATGTAAATGCTGCATGATCATTCAAATGAAGCAACGAATAAAAAGGCTAAACCTAACATGCTGTAGGTCATGTCAGGCAGAACATCTGAAGACCAGTCAATGAAAAGCCAATATCTTGACAGGGCAGCTTAACTGCTTTGAGAGGAAACAGGACGTGTGCTTGTGTCTGATAAAGACTGAAACTTGAGCACAAGTTACATTTCATTTCTAGAGAATATATATATTTTTAGAATTTTTTTTTTTTTTTTTTTTTTTAGATTTTTAGATTCTATTTTTTTTCTCTTTTAAATATTTCCCTAATAATGTTTAACAGAGCAAGGACATTTTCACAGTATGTCTGATAATATTTTTTTCTTCTGGAGAAAGTCCTCTTTGTCCTTAAAATGGTTTAAAAATTAAAAACTGCTTTTATTTTAGCATAAATAAAACAAAGTTATTAGCCCCTTTAGGCTCTTTTTGTTTTCAATAGTCTACAGAACAAACCATCATCATACAATAACTTGCCTAATTAGCCTAACCTGCCTATTTACCCTTATTAGCCCAGTTAAGCCTTTAAATGTCACTTTAAGATGAAAGTGTCTTGAAAAACATCTAGACAAATATTATTTACTGTCATCATGGCAAATATTAAATAAATCAGTTATTAGAAATGAGTTATTAAATCTATTATGATTAGAAATGTGTTGAAAAAATCTGCTCTCCATTAAACAGAAATTGGGGAAAAAATTTAAGAGGTGGGCTAATAATTCTGACTTTAATATATATGAGCAATTCCAGCGTTATGGGTGTTATATTTGCAGTAAAATCTCAAAACATAAATTCACACAGAAAGCATATGTTAACATTTTATTGAAACTTTTGTTTGTATTTTTCAGAAAAACTGACCACAGAGTTATGGGACAAAATGTGACCAAAAAAGGTCTGTGGGTAAACAACATACTTTGAAGAAATTCTGTGAATTAAACTGCACAACCCAAAAGAAACCATGCTAATCAAAATGATAAGAGTTTGGTCACTATAAAACAAAAATGATTGATTTTATTTTATTTAATATTTTCACATTTATGAGGAAAAGGTGTTGTTATAGATGTAACTCTCCATTATGAATGTGACGGATGTGAAACTGTCACTTGTGTGACTTTGTTTTTAAACTATTATATTTGATTTACCATTGACAGATGCATTTTTGAATATTTCTAAAGTATTGTAAAATACCTGCATAAACAAAAAACCCAGAAACAGAATACTTATTTATTTTCATGGCAAGGTTAACATTTGCGCGGAATTGCTCTTATAGTACAAATAAAATAAACCCCACATCATTTACAGCCCTTCTTTCAAACACAAAAGAAGATATTTGTAAGAATGTTGCAATCCGGTAACCATTAACTTCCATAGTGTTTGTTTTGATAGTATGGATGTCACTGTTTAGCAGTTTCCAGCGTTCCTCAAGATATCTTCTTCTGTGTATAACAGAAAACTAAACTTACTAAGTTTTGGAAAATGTTAATTTTTTTTATCATTTTAGCGGAAAACAAAACATGTTTAAGTTAGAAAATGGGAGACATTTTATAAGCTGTTTTTTAATCATTGTTCTTTGTTACTTGATATCTTATCCTTGTATTTTATGTTTCTTGTATTCTAGTTTATGTAAAGCACTTTGAGTTACCGTTGCGTATGAAAAGTGTGCTATATCAATAAATTTGCCTTGCCTTAATCTGATATTATAATATGAAAATGTTTGCCTGAAGCTGTTCACTGTTATTCTGCAATATGTGCGCAGGCTGGATAAAAAATATAATGAATAAATACATTTATTTAAATATTCATTCATTGATTCATTTTCTTTCTGCTTAGTCAATTTATTTATCAGGGGTCATCTCAGTAGAATGAACTGAAAACTATGCCAGCATATGCTTTACACAGCAGATGCCCTTCCAGCTGCAATCCATACACACTCATACACTACGACCAATTTAGTTTATTCAACGCCAACATAGGGAGAATGCAAACTCCACACAGAAATGCCAACTGGCCCAGCTGGCACTTGAACCACTGACCTTCTTGCTGTGAGGCAATAAATATTTATTTATACATTTAAAAATAATAATAATTTAATTATGCATTTAACAATTTGTTTATATATTTATTGTGTGTGTGTGTGTGTGTGTGTGTGTGTGTGTGTGTGTGTGTGTGTGTGTGTGTGTTTAAATAGATCGATTTTTACACCTGCATCCTGCTGAAAATAGAACATCACAAACTACTCCAAATACGTAAATACAATATAAATACACAAATATTTGTAATGTTTTGTAAATAGCAGCACATTATTTAATTTTAAGTAATTTGCCCTCTGATTGTATATTTATTTATTGATTGATTTATTATTAAAGGCATTCCGTTAAAAACAAAAAACGTGACAAACTTCTCAAAATAAATAAATATATAATGGATAAACAAATACTTTTCAACTATATTAGCTTGTTTTGCAACTAGCAGCACATAGAACAACAGGTTATTAAAATTTTAGTTATTAAATACTGCAATACTGCCAATGCATGACTGTTTCATACATTTTCCTTCGGTTTAGTCCCTTTATTCATCAGGAGTCGCCACAGCGGAATGAACCGCTAACTTATGCAGCATGTTTTACACAGCAGATGGTCTTCTAGCTGCAACCCAGTACTGAGAAACACCCATAGAATCATTCAAACAAATACACTACGGCCAATTTAACTTATTCAATTCAGCAATAACAGTTACACGCATGTGTTTGGACTGTGGGGGAAACCCACGCCAACACGGGGAGAACATGCAAACTCCACACAGAAATATTTGTTTATCCATTATGCAGTCGAACCAGCTACCTTCTTGGTGTGAGGCGACAGTGCAAAGCACTGAGCCACCGTGTTGCCCGTGTATGACTGTTGTCCATGGAAATAAATGACCGTGTTCGTGAAATCACCAAAGACGACACATTGAAGACGCGCATCTGCATCGCGCTCAGCGCTTACTAAAGCACGCGCAAATTACACAACCAATAACGCGCTCACTCTTCAACATGCAAACATGTAATACTGTGCTCACCTGTGAATGTCCCCTCACAGCCTTTGATGTGGTTTTCTTACGCAACGTCAGCGAAATGAGAACGATAATGACATTCATCAACTGTGACTCAGGAAACTACTTTCATAACTCTTTTTTCGTAACCGCGCGTGCGTCTGACGTCACGCGTCGCACGTGTTTCTGTTGTCAAAAATGCAGATCCCAAATAAACATGCGATCTTGCTAAATTAATAGTTGGTAACATTACAGAAGATTGTACTGTATCATTTACAATATGATAAATCGCTTGGGGATTTCGCACGTGTGGTGCTCTTTTTTTCTAAAGATTTGATTCATTGACGTTTGAATAAAGTTTTTCAAAGAGGAAAATGGCCGCGTCCATAATGCGCCGCTCGTAGCGTCTTTATAAAAACAATAATAATCCATGTGCGGGTGAGTAATTTTATCTTAGTCAAAAGCCATTAAAGCATGCATTAATCTGTTGAATTTCAAGGCTCAATTCTGTTGAAATTCAGGGGCATCCATTTAAAATAAAAATAATGTTTAAGACCATCGTATATCTGCTAAACACCTTTCACTAGCAAAAAAAAAATACCACAGTATTACATGAATATTAATACGGTAGTAACCATGGGTTTGTGGCGAATTCATTAAATATATACAGTATATAACCAGCTTTACCAGAAATACCATGGTGAAGCTATGGATATTGAATCAAATGCCAAATGCATTTTCAACGTATGTTTGCATGGTTTAAAATATATAAGTATTTCTGGTAAAGCTGGTTATACTGTATGTGTATATATATATATATATATATATATATATATATATATATATATATATATATATATATATATATATGTGTGTGTAACCAGCTTTACCAGAACTACCATGGTGAAGCTATGGATGCATTTCCAAGTTATGTTTGGAATATTTGTATCGTTTAAATATAACAGCCAGATATTTTATGTATTATAATTACTTATAGGAAGGCAAATTTTTTGTCAGGAACAGTTAAGATGATAGCCGATTTAACAATATTAACACTTTAGTAATAGCTTTTTTTGTATCTATGATCGTCTTTGACGTTATTTATTATTAAACAAATCTGAGCCCTATAGCTATAATGGCCATCGCTAATTTGTGTCAGAGACGTTATTATTACGTCTTTTAAACACATTTCTGAGTCCTATGACTGTAGTTTTCCAAGGTCATTATGGTATATACACACATCCACAAATCTGAATAACTAAGAAATAAACAAATATTATTAAGCGGGTGAAGAAAATAATTTCGAGGATGTTCAGGCTTTACCATCGGCCTGTTGTTGTTTATTTAAAACAGTAACACTAAACAGCAAAATGGAGTCAAATGCAAGAATTTATGCAAGAATCTAATTAGTTTTTTATTTCTGGATATTTATCAGGGTACCCGTAGGGTCTTAAAAAGTCTTAAATCTACTGAAATATTGTGTTGTTTTTTTAAGAGGTCTTAATTTTCCTTTGTTCATGTGTAGCTACCCAATCTGGCCATTAACACCAATACAGTCAACGACAATCCATCTCAATAAAACTTTTAAGCTTTTATTTAAAAATAGCATTTAATTACTTTCCTTACAGTAACATTTGCTTACACGATATTTACTGCTGTGGATACTGACCTGACCTATATATTTTATTTTATTATTATTATTATTATTGTTGACTGAAATAATTGACAGCTATGTTTTTTTCTATTCTTCATAAGGGTTATAGGGTTTGTAAATAGATATATTTGGAAGTTAATAAAGCGAAATTCTAACAAAATATTTTATTATTGTATTATTAAATGTCTTAAATTTTTATATTTTTTGTGAAAATCAAAGTGAAAATCTTTTCTAACTGGAATATTTAAAAAAAAAGTCCTGTATAAGTCTAATATTTAATTAATAATGGAACGTAGTTTAACTTGTGGACATTATTTCTGGACATTTTCGGATGTTTACACTGAAAACTGGTTCAGAAACTGCTTCAGGTTTATTAGTGTTATTCAGACACAAGTGAATTGCATACACTGATAAAAATGTTAAAAGCACGTGCTGTTTCAGCCCATTGTAGATATTTGCTAAAGACCTTTTACTAACCAAAATGTCTTTAAAACTCTTAAATTTAACTTTTCGGACATTATTTCAGGACATTTCTGGATATTTACACTAAAATATATTTAAGAAAAATGCTTCAGTTTTATTTAGTTTTATTCAGACACAAGTGAATGCATACATTCCTAATATTTTAAAGGCATATGCTGTTGAAAAAAGAAAAATCACTTTTTAGATTATTTTTACACTTTAGGGATTAATATACTACACAAACACAGACAGAGAGAACTGAAAAGAATAAGTGACCTCTTGTAAATTCTGATATTCTCTGTATTGATGATTTCTACTTATGTGTTTCAGTAAAACAGGATTAAATCGAGTGATGACATTTATTCCATTTAAAATGAAAACATTGCTATTTAGAGCATTTATTTTGCTTGAAATAACAAAAGGATGCCATGTTTCAGAATTTTTTTGGACAACACAGCATCAATGTTTTTACTTAAAATCAAGAAATCAATATTTGGTGGAACATTCCTGATTTTTATCTTAAGAAGAAATGCTCTAAATGACAATATTTCATTAAAATACTCCCATATAAAATTAGCAGAAAAAAGTCTTATCAGACTTTTATAAAAATGAAACACATATTAACATTTGACTGAAACATAACAAACAAACCCAAAACGTCCAGAGAAACTAAGAATTTCCAAGTGGTCTCTTCATATAGTTTTATATACATTACCTGACAAAAGTCTTGTTGTTGATCTCAGTTGTAAGAGCAGCAAGTAATAACTTGATTTCTAGTTGATCATTTTGAAAAAGTGGCAGAAGGTAGATTTTTCTGATGAATCATCTGTTGATCTGCATCTCAGTGATCACAAATACTGAGAGACCTATTGGAAGACACCAGATTCTCAGAGAAATTAGTCAAGTTTGGTGAAGGAAAAATCATGGTTTGGTGTTAAATTCAGTATGGGGGCATGCGAGAGATCTGCAGAGTGGATGGCAACATCAACAGCCTGAGCTATCAATAAATTTGTGCTGCCTATTACATTACAAACCACAGGAGAGGGCAAATTCTTTAGCAGAACAGCACTCCTTCTCATACTACAGCTTCCACATCAAACCAAAGAAGGTCAAGGTTCTCCAGGATTGGCCAGCCCAGTCACCAGAAATGAACATTATTGAGCATGTCTGGGGTAAGATGGAGGAGGCATTGAAGATGAATTCAAAGAATCTTGATGAAGTCTGGGAGTCATTGCAGAGATGTGTGGATGCAGTCCTCCAAGCTCATGGGAGTCAAACACAATATTAATTCTTTTATTAATTAAAAATCAAGGCATGATAATATTTTTTGGGTAAAATAAGCGTAATCTAAAGGCCTTTGCCTTTCATATAAGACACTTCTAATTCCAAATGATCAACTAGAAGTCAAGTTTTTATTTATTGTTTCTAAAACTTGGATAGGTGACAAGAGTTTTTCTCAGGTAGTGTATAATGCAGCTCAATATATATTTATCAATTTTGGTTGATTTTTTTGTCATTATTATCATTGTTTTCCAGGGTTGTCCAGCAGCTAAAGTAAGGATGAGCCGCTCAACCAGCCTCTTGCAGCAGATGACCATCTTCATGACCGTAGTGACTGGCGGTGGTTGTGCTACCATGTACTACCTCATGCAGAGTCAGTCACGCTTCAATAAACCTTATGAAATGTGATATATAAATTAGCTTGGCTTAAACCGCTGTCTTGTTTCTCTTAGAAAACTTTGCTAAATCAGAGTACTACCGTCAGGCTCTTGAGCAGCTGAACAGTAACTCCACAGCCATGGCCAGTCTGGGAGCTCCTCCTCTGAAAATACACAACATCCATCTGTCGGACCGACACAACCGCATTGACCACAGCAGCGCTCAGGTCAGCAGATCAGACTAAACTGAACTAAATAAACCAAACTAATCTAAACTGAGGGCGTCACGGTGGTGCAGTGGGTAGCACCTCACAGCAAGAAGGTCACTGGTTTGAGTCTCGGCTGGATCAGTTGGCATTTCTGTGTGGAGTTTGCATGTTCTCCCTGTGTTTGATGTCGGTTTTCATCCGGGTGCTCCGGTTTCCCCCACAGTCCAAAGACATGCGGTATAGGTGAACTGGGTGAGCTAAATTGACCGTAGTGTATGTGTGCGAATGAATGAGAGTGTATGGGTGTTTCCCAGTGATAGGTTGCAGCTGGAAGGGCATCTGCTGCATAAAACGTGCTGGATAAGTTGGTGTTCATTCTGCAGTGGCAACCCCTGATTAATAAAGGGACTAAGCCGAAAATAAAATGAATGAATGAATGTTTCATATAAGACAGATTTTACAGATGTGAAATCCAAATCAGGGCTGCTGCATGATACGGGAAGAATATGCAATGTTGTTGTTGAGTACTGCGATACCGATATTTCTTACAATATAACATTTCCCTAGAAAATTTTTATTAGCTATGTTTTTAAATCATTTATTTATTTAATGGTATTAAAATAAACAGGTAAAAGATAATTTTGAGATGTAATTAATTCTGATTCAGCATAAAAAAACTGCCTCAAGATGCGAAAAGTTAGTGTTTAAAACACTATGAATGAGTGAAAACCTGCACATATATTCTGACTCTGATTGGCTGTTGACATTTCCCATCATTAGTGTTTATTATTATTATCAGCTCTGGGTTCATCTTTGGGCCGCTCCAGCCAATAGCAGAACAGCAACTACTGAGGATAAAGATAGTAAATCCCCATCAGATTGGTCAAATTAAAAAAACAATACATTAAATAAATCAACCTTATCACATGCCTGCCATACATATACTGCATATACTATTATCGCAATAATAATAATTTTGCAGGCGGCACGGTGGCTCAGTGGTTAGCACTGTCACCTCACAGTAAGAAGGTCACTGGTTCGAGTCTCGGCTGGGTCAGTTGGCATTTCTGTGGAGTTTGAATGTTCTCCCCGTGTTCGCGTAGGTTTCCTACACAGTCTAAAGACATGCGCTATAGGTGAACTAAATAAACTAAATAGGCCATAGTGTATGAGTGTGGAGGAGTGTTTATGGATGTTTCCCAGTACTAGGTTGCAGCTGGAAGGGCCTTTACTGCGTAAAAAACATATGCTGGAATAGTAAGAGGTTCATTTCACTGTTGCAACCCCTTATAAATAAAGGACTAAGCTGAAGAAAAATTAATGAATGATAATTATGCGATATATTGCACAGCGCTTATTCAAATATAAACGTTTGTCATATATGTAATTTGCATAAATAGCCATGCATCAGATTTCTGCATTCAGTTTCCAATTGCTAAAGTTGTCAATTAAATTCACTCTTTAGTGTCCTGCCTTAATCAAGATAACTCATTCATTCATTTTCCTTCGGATTAGTCTCTTTGTTCATCCGGGGTCGCCACATCGGAATGAACCACCAACTTACCCAGCAAATATTTTACACAGTAGATGTTCTTACAGCTGCAACCCAGCACTGGGAAAAATCTAGATAACTTCCTCTTTAAAATCATCTCTGTTTGGTTTGTGAGTCTGTAACTTACACGCGCTCCACCAATAGCAAAGCACTCAGTTCTCCATTGACGAAATCGAGTCCCATCCTAGATTTGTTCTCGTCCAAGCTGTTTCACACAGATCTAGGTGAAGAAAATACATATTAAATATTGACTTTAATCACCATATAAATCCATTTCAGCTCAAGATTCCAGTCACCGGGTCCAAGACTGGAGGTTACCTTTACACAACATCCACCAGAGACTCTCTGACGAACAGGTAAAATCCTAAAACAGCTCTATAATGTTACTTATGTTAGATTATATAAAGATTCAGTCCTCTTTTGTCAGTAGATGGCACCTGCAGCAGGTCGTCCTGAAGCTCAGAAAAGGAGACACCGTTGAGATTTTCAACAACACACAATCTGAAGAGTGACTTCAGAAACAACATGATACAGGGAAAACAAATGCTAATGGACTCTTCCTGATATGTTTTTCTTTTTAGTTTTTATTGCGAATTGGGAAGAAATGTTAACAGCCCTTCATAGAATAAAAACAATATTGACATTTTGTTCAAAGACACCTAATAAATCCAGAGAGACTTATCCAGAGAGTGGTCTCTTTTTTCCCATGGCTGTATGTATGAAGACAAAATGTATAGGCCTCCTGTAAAAATGATTATTTTTGAAAGATTTCCCAAATAATATTTATTTCAACACATTATTAAACAGTATATTTCTAATAACTAATTACTTTTTGATGAAAGTATGTTATGGCTAAGAGAGAGAGAGAAAGAGAGAGAGTTTTAATTTTATTGCCATTTCAGCTTCTATGGCTATGTCATGGCAAAAAAAAAAAATCAAGGTTACCACATTTTATAAATACCACTTTACTATATTTTAAAAAAAAGTCCTAATAATTAAAAGTCATTACCAGAAATAAATAATACACAAGGTAAAATACATAAATAATAATGATAATATATTAGATAAAAATCTAAAACAGTTTTTTAAGGTTTCCATTTGATAAAAATTCTACAATTTTAGATGGATTCACATTTTTAAAAATTTCACTTAAAGTCTCTTAAGATAAAAATTGTTTGAGAACATTAAAAATGGAGCTTTCCACAAGACAATACTTTACAGTTTATGTTACGGCTAAAGTTTATTTATTTATTTTTATTGCTCTGGCTGACGACCAACATTCAAACTTGTTACCAAGTTTCATACGTTCAACTTCTTTCGAGAGTTTGAGCTTGTAGGGGTGGCCTGCCTATTGATTTGATTACTTTTGACTATGTTTATGTTTAGGGGGAAATACAAGCTTCCTGTATTTTTCTTTAATTATTTATTGGTAATTTAGTTCATTTACTTTATAGATTCTTTTGTTTGTTATTTTGGCCTGTGGCCACCCTGAAGAGATGCTCCTTTAAAATTACTACTTTTTTCCATAATAAATTTATTCAATTACTCACAACAGTGTCCGAGTTTGGTTGTCGACCGAAAGGGATCTTTTGCATTAAGTTTTGTTTTGTTTGGGAAATCCACCACCCCAGCACATTTGTTTTTCCATTTATTATGCCCATGTTGTTTTCCCCTAGACTTGGGGAGTAATATTTTTGTTGTTATTTTGCAAGATGCGAGTATTCAGATCAAAGTGCAATACATATATATTGTTGAAGTCAAAATTATTAGCCCTCACGTGACACTCGTTTTCAAATATTTCCCAAATGATGTTTAACAGTGCAAGGAATTTTTCACAGTATGTTCTATAATATTTAATCTTCTGAAAAAAAGTCCTATTTGTTTTATTTTGCCTAGAATAAAAGCAGTTTTAAAAAAATTATAATAATTTTAAGGTCAATATTATTAGCCCCCTTAAGCAATATGTTTTAATGAATAAAACTTTCTCCAAAAGAAAAACATAATAGGAAATACAGTGAAATAATTCCTTGCTCTGTTAAACATCATTTGGGAAATATTAAAAGAATTTAAATTTCTAACAATTTTACTCACAGATAAGCAATAGTATGATTAATTCAGGCAGAGTAGAATAGACCATTTCGAGGGATGTAAACAAAAACAATGGTCTCAACATATTTCCTGTTTTACATTTTTAATTTCTATTCCTTCCGAGAATACAAAAAGAGCCACATATTGATAATGTTATGATAGCTGTTTTAACATTAAGTTATGATTAAATTGTCTTTTTTGCTACATTATTAAATAGTTTGATAAGCAGGAAATGTTCATGGGCCAACGACATGACCACATTTAAATGGTCAATAACAGTGGTGTCCAAACTCAGGCCTGGACGGCCGGTGTCCTGCATATTTTAGTTCTAACCTCAATTAAACACACCTGAACTAGCTAATCAAGCTCTTTCTAGGTATACTAGAAACTTTCAGGGAGGTGTGTTGAAGGAAGTTGGAGCTAAACTATGCAGGACACCGGCCCTCCAGGACCAGGTTTGGACACCCCTGGTCTATAACATTCATTCATTCATTTCCTTTTCGGCCTAGTCCCTTTTTTAATCAGGGATCGCCACAGTGGAATGAACTGCCAATTTTCTCAGCATATGTTTTACACTGCGGATGAAATTAGAAAAAGTAGAACACTGTTTAGCGGTACTAAAATAAACAATGCTAGTCTTGGACCATGTGATTAGTGCGGTATCTTTGTAGTTACTAAACCCTACCAGCGGGTGTCAGTAAAACATTATCACTCAATAACCTCAGAAAACTGCAATCCCTTGTTTGTCATTACTAAAATAAATACAAATAATTTGTTTTTGTAAGAAATGTTAAGAGATGCGATAAAAAAAATATTTTAAAACAAGTGCATTTTCAGAGATCTTCATGAGAAAACAGATTTACAGACAGGTTTCCATGCAAAATTTGGTAACGCTTTCTTTTACAACCCGCAAAGTACCGCGTAAGTACAGTGAAATTACACTGTACTTTTCTGTACGTACTGTGTAAGTATAATGAACGTATGTGTAGGTATAAGGGAACAAACCGTAATGCTTGGGTAAAAAGGGGGTAACAACCAGATGTTCATCACGAAAATTACCGCGTAAGTACAGTGAAATAACGGTGTACTTTTCTGTACCTATAGTGTAAGTATAAATAACGTTTACGTAAGTATAAGGGAACAAACTGTAATGCTCGGGTAATAAGGGGATAACAACCAGATATTTAGCATAAAAGGTACCGCGTAAGTACAGTGAAATAAGGTTGTACTTTTCTTTAAATTGCAAAAGAACAAACCATAATGTTTGCGTAAAAGGGGAGTAACAATAAGATATCCATCACGCAAAGAAGTATATTAAGTTTACGATGTACATTTCTTCAAGTATTGTATACATATAAAGAATTATGCAAGGATGGTGACAACCTATTGCTATCTGCAAATGTACTGTATATGCACCTGCGTGAGTACATTAGTACTCTTATTCAGTGCTTGGGTTTTATATGGGGTGTTTAATGAATAAAAGGTTTACAACCTGTGAAATTATGAACCCTTATTGTATACTGTATGTATTTTAAATCTTCAATTCAATATAAAATATATTTCCATACACTACTTACCTTATGTTTACTCGTCGATCTCACCAAAGCCATCAATGTCTCCATAACTCACTATCAACAAATAACTTTGCATGACATAGGCCTACCGTCAGGGTTCAATGCAGATTAAAACAGGCTCGCATCTTTACTGCTGTTGCACAGGGGGGCTAACTGTTGCATTTCAGTAAATGTATAGCTGATGCTTTATAGAAAAATCTAGTAATTTGGTCTTCAATCAATAAAAACTGCTGCTGTAGTTTACTCTGTTCTTAGTGTTCAAGTATACACTAGTATGTTAAAGTTCAGCTTCTTCCCTCTTTGTTCCCTGTAGTTAAAGGGTAAATACAGTATTTGTTCCCTCCTTGTTCCCTGTACTTACAGGGTAAATACCACATTTGAGGGTTGTAAATTAAAGTGAAGCTTTGTTCCTCCCTTGTTACCTGTACTTACAGGGTAAATACCACATTTGAGGGTTGTAAATTAAAGTGAAGCTTTGTTCCTCTCTTGTTACCTCCTTGTTCCCTGTACTTACAGGGTAAATACCACATTTGAGGGTTGTAAATTAAAGTGAAGCTTTGTTCCTCCCTTGTTACCTGTACTTACAGGGTAAATACCACATTTGAGGGTTGTAAATTAAAGTGAAGCTTTGTTCCTCTCTTGTTACCTCCTTGTTCCCTGTACTTACAGGGTAAATACCACATTTGAGGGTTGTAAATTAAAGTGAAGCTTTGTTCCTCTCTTGTTACCTCCTTGTTCCCTGTACTTACAGGGTAAATACCACATTTGAGGGTTGTAAATTAAAGTGAAGCTTTGTTCCTCTCTTGTTACCTGTAGTTAAAGGGTAAATACAACATTTGTTCCCCCCTTGTTCCCTTTAGTTTACAATGTAAAATCTTAAAGGCAGTGAAATAAATATACAAACACACAATATATTTCTTCTTTACTTTGTAACCTTTATTTTAATAAATAAGCATTTTAAAAGACTTCATATTAATCAAACATTGTCTTGTCTATCATTGCCTATACTCATTCATTTTCTCTTCGGCTTTGTCCTTTTGTTAATCTGGGGTCGCCACAGTGGAATAAACCACCATCTTATCCAGCATATGTTTTACGCAGTGGATGCCCTTCCAGCTGCAACCCATCTCTGGGAAACATCCATACACACTCACTCACACGCATTCACTACGGACAATTTGGTCTACCCAATTCACCTGTACCGCATGTCTTTGGACTGTGAGGGAAACCGGAGCACCCGGAGGAATCCCACGCGAACGCAGGGAGAACTCCATGCAGAAACCTTCTTGATGTGAGGAAACAGCACTACCTACTGTGCCACCGTGTTGCCACCCAGCTGCAACCCATCACTGGGTAACATCCATACATACTCATTCACACACATACACTACGGACAATTTTAGCTTACCCAATGTCACCACATATTTTTGGACTTGTGGGAGCACCCGGAGGAAACCCACGCTAACATGGGGAGAACATGCAAACTCCACACAGAAATGCCAACTGACCCAGCCGAGGCTCGAACCAGCGACCTTCTTGCTGTGAGGCGATTGTGCTACCCACTGCGCCTGCCTATACTCAAACAGCAAAATAACACATTATTTCCTTCCCCCTTTTTTTCTGGCATCTCTTGCTTGGCTTCCTCTTCTGCTCTTCTCAGCTTCCACTGAGGACTCTGATGGTGAGTGGCTGATGAAATCCCATGGGTCTTGCTGCTCTGCATTTATATAAAATATATAAACAGACAGAAAGGCTTTTAGTAAGCTATAGACATGTTTATTTTCCTGTTTAATGTGTGTGTAGTGGTTGTCCAACAATTTCACACACTAAAAATTTACAGATACCATACAGACACTATACATTACTATCAAACAAAAGTACTATCATCAGATCATATGGGAGATTGTGATCATTTATAGTGATAATAATTAAAGCGCAGAGGGGAAAAGGCTTAAATAGTAGGCTACTGTGCTAAAGTCCTAGGCAAACGTTACTAGTAATTGGGTGGGGGGGGGGGGG